GACGAAATCCTCCTAATTGAGCCGGTGACCGCTGCTAAAACTAGGAAGGTGTGGGTGGGTGTGGTTCGTACCTTTATTCTTGGTTGTTTTGGAATTCGGGTTTTTAGCTAACTCCCCTAAGTGAGGTGCCAATTGTTGACCAACTCGGTAATAGACCAGAAGGCGATTACCTGAAACTACTTCTAACCTCGACAATACTTGTCCTGTTTTCCCAAAACACTCGTCATAGACGGGGTAGACAGTGGTGTTCGATCAGTGACAGTCTATTTTTATTCTGTCCCCGTAATGACCAAGTCTCTGTACCGTAAAGCAGCACTGCCCGACTTGTTGCAACGTACACTAGACCCTTTACAGTTAACCGGATGTCAGGAAAGCACCACAGATGTTTCAATTCGACAAATGCCAGTCGACCATTCTGTATGCATGCGGACACTTCATCTGTGATGCATTCAGCAGGTTAGATATGATCCTAGTAGCAAACTTTTTATCTACTTTCTCTATTACTTCCCAGTCAGGATGAGGTTGGGGACTAGACCAACCAAGTGATACAACCCGACTCAACCTACATACACGCCTGAAACACCATTTACCACAGACTTCGGTAACAAAAAAAATTATCAAGAACTACACCAACCTGTTTTTGCTGCATCTCGGTTGTGAATCCCAAACCGTGCAACAGTCGGGCAGCTTTTGCTTCCGCTTTGTCTGCATCTAGATGTTCCAGGCGTTCATACACCTCCAACAGACGCTCGTGACTCTCTGTGCGTGGGAAATGAACAAAATCACAGTTGTGAATAACAGCCAAATACACAAAGCGATATGACTAGCATTACACTCGAAAAAAGATATCACTTTCACGTGATGTGGTGAGTTCTTTCCATCGTCATTCATTTAGGTGTAAACCACGAACCGCCTAGACCGAAAGAACGAGAAAGAAGCCGACGATTGGTTGCCACCGACTTGACCGATACAGAGGTGTCAGATGACATCAAATCACTCATGTTCACTCACCAAAAAGAAACCTACGTGCATAAAGACACGCAAGACAAAACACGGGAATGTGGTATGTTTTCTCTACTCCAGCTGGCTGTGATGACCGCGGCAGACTGAAAGTTTCCAATAAAATGTCGAAGAACAATTTGGGACTTTGAATTCTTTCTTCCCTGTATTATGCTGACCGGTACTGCATACAGTACAACTCCTCGTCTTCGTAGGACCAGTCACCAAGCGATAATCGTCATTTCCATGACGCAATACTAACACCGATCGATCTGGGGCGAAGGAACGTTGCAAATCTCCTCGTCGCCGATTGAATTGTTCTTCCATTTTCCGATTCCCTTCGGTGTTGCTGGTAGCCGGGCGCGGCGGACCGAACGGCATTCGTTACTTCCGGCTAAGTAAGGTTTCTAATGGGAAAACTTCGTTTGATGAGTTCGAAGCGCACCGATACATAAACAGAAACCTTTCATTGTCTCCTACGGTTGCGCGAGCTTGGAAGTAACCATAAAACTTCCTTCCTCTCCACTGTTGGATCGCGGACGGAGAGGGGTGAGGCCAATGTGTTTGATGCCATTCTCCTAGCAAAAATCAATTATTGGTCGAGATGTGAACTAGATATCATTGTCGCTAACGCCTGTTTCAGGTATAGCAAAACGACGAGATTTGAATTTGATGAGGTTGACGTAGGGCTATCCATTTGGAAAATCTTGGGCCATTTTCTGATTGTAGCCATGGTGACAACGTAGGATAGACCGTTGATTCGTTCCACAGTGTCGACGTGAATACGCGACCAGGATTTGTCAGGAATTGGTTAATCGTAAGGAATAGATTTTATTGGAATCTTAGATGCAGAAGTGCATTGGTAACGGCTTTGGGCAAGTTACTTTAGTTGCTTATCAATGAACGACCGATAAACAAGACTGTGGATGGGTGATTTTGTGCGGCCGATTCACGGATATCCTGTGTGGAAGTCCTGCGGCATTCTTTTTTGCAGCGTCTTTAGAATCACTGCTCTTTCAGAGAACAGAATGTAACCGCTCCCGATGAATGAGTCTACTTGTCCGTTGGAAGAGTTGACGCAGTTCGTCAGAAACGCATGAGTTATGCCAATATGTGCGGAGGATTTGTGACTTGAGCAGCGGGTCGTGGAGTGCTACCTCCCAAACTTCTTCAGCTGTCACCTGAGCATAGCGGAGAGCGCCGGTTCCACCGATAACGAAGCAGTAACGATACCTTTGGGTTCGGGTTTTTGAGAATCAACAGACCTTGACAGCGCATCTACTTGACCGAAGAATGTAGTGGACTGGTAGCGGATCTCAAAATCGTAGCTGAGAAGGATGAGTGCCCAAAGTTGACGGTGGGTGATGGCATAGACTGGAGTATCCTTTTTGGAGCCGAGATTTGCGATCAGTGGCTTGTGATCAGTGAGGAGTATGGAATTACCACTGTAGACCATGTGATGAAACGTGTTCACAGTGAAGACGATACCCAAGGCTTCTTCCTGACTGTAGTTGAATTCTGTTACGGTTAACAATCTGACGGCATGTGAAATGACCTGTGACCCATCTGGAAGTTTTTGAGAGATAACTGTTTGAAGTATCGACTGGCACGACGATATCAAGCGCCGGGTCGCAATGTATCAGAAGCAGGTTTGAGCCAAGCATGGACTATGCACAATCCAAGGCGTTCTAGCAGTGCGTCGACCAATTCTATGATAGATCTTTAGCTAGAAGTTGGTTCATTGAGGCTCGGATGAGATGCATATCAGAACTTACGGGGCTCAATAATAATCTAGATGTAGCCAAATCCTCTGGAGGTGGCATATTCTGAATGTAGGGATGTGTGGGGTACCCGGTAGGAGTGGCACCTCTGACACGAAGGGCTGTCGGCCCCTTCGGGGCATCCTCCGTTCTTTGGTCTTCAACCCTGACTAGTGGCTCCGAGAAGCTGTCTAGATAAAACAGCGGCCACACCCCGGTAAACCGCTTGACAGGCAAGGGTGATGCAATAGTGCCACAACCCACAACACAAACTATTTTGGAGGCAAACATGAACTATCCACTACTACTCATAGTTAAATAAGCACAGTTTTGATATCTTGTATGTTTCACACTAGTTGGTTTTCGATGCAACCGTCGCATTGACAGACACCGGGTAAATTGATTCAGTTTCATTGTATTTCAAAACACTTGTTTTGACTCAACTCAACTTACCAGAGTCCTCTCGCAGTGACAATTCGCTTGCCTCCTTTTCCAGGCGTTGCCTTTCTACATCCACCTCCATTACACACTGCAAAGCTGTTTTGTCACTCGGTGCCATTTCCCGCTGCAAAAGGAAAATGTCCACGTGTTCCGGGATGGGGATTTCTCGATTGGCTATAACGGCCAGGAGAGTGGACTTCCCGCAACCATTGGGCCCGATCAAGCCGTACCTGAGAGTCAAATTGATCCCAAAGCGATGATGACGAATTAGTATTAGATAGCACACATATGATTTATTGGGTGTTCGATTGTTATCCTATTTACCGACTGAAATGACCCCAAGTTGGTGTAAAAAGAAATGATGGAAATTAAGAACTAGTAGAAAGAACTATGGCGGACCCTCCGGATCGTTATCACAGTGGAATGAATCAAATGTGACCGGTGATAAACCTCGTGTGTGTGTGTGTGTTACTCCAAGCTCCGGGGTCAAAATTGCTCAATGGTACCATTGTTCTATCATTATTGTTCCTAGCTTGGGTGGTTATCACCATCTCTAGCCAACTTGAGTGGGAATAAACAGAACACAGAATGTGATGCAAACGCAACCGCACAGACACAATCCTATCACGCCTCCAATGAGAACAAGTTTTGATCACGTCAAACCAAGATAAAGATACGGACTGCTAACCTCCAATGGGCCATATAATGCACGAAGAGAGTGGGGGGGGGGCATGATCCGCCAAAGTAAGATTAGTGTGACCAGCCCTTCACGTGGTTAGCCGGTTAGAGATTTTTGAATGACCAGAAACTTGGTACACGTAAGTGGGCTGCAGCGGAGTTTCTCTTGGTATATGTTCTGTACAATCCAAGAAATGAAATCTCCTTGTTTTGTTAATGACATAACGGTTGGATGTAAATATGTCGTTGAGCCATACTGGAAAATCTTGGGTGATTTAGTGTCTACGAGCTAGTTAGACATTCACATTTGAATTGGTTGACGCAGTTGGACTTGGTGGACTGTAATGATGCATTTAATCACCAGCGCGTCTAAAGTTTTTACGATAAGGAACACAATGTGGAATAGAATGTGTGTGGACATGGTGGTTTCATTGTGAAAGTAATTTTCAGTGATTTAAAAATAGTTAATTCAAAAAGATGAAAACCATAGCGCACAAAAAACAGATAGGAACACTCTTGAACCGCAGTGTTATTGCTTTTATTAGACTAACCAGAGGGTGGAGGGGACACCAACTAGCCGAAGGTAAAGGAAAAATTATAGCAATCGACAATAAAAAAGATGATCTGTCGGTTCACAACACGAGTAGTCAGATGAACAACCGATTTGACGGATTTTACCTGCGACCAACATTCAGCTCTAATTGAGTATCGGTGAGGATTTCTCTACCGTGGAACGTGATACTGTGGTTAGCAAATTTGATATCACGCGCCTCCGGATGCGATACCAGGACCCCAGTGACTGATCGATAGGCTGCAACTCTATCACTGACCAGATCCAGACATTCCAGCTCTTCAATAAGCGCTTTGTGCACCGCCTCGTTTTCATCGTCACTGCCTAGAATGGAACAAGTGACGAAAATGGGTCGGCGAAGAAACGGGAAAACATTGATCGAACAGCGATAGGAAAGAATCTTATCTCATTAATATCAGTGTAATTCAAGTACTTAGAGTTTTCGTTCGAAGTGAAAAGTGGTAGCTTGATTCAAGGAGCGGTGTATACGATTTAGGAAATTACCATTTCACACAACTGTTCTCATGTTCCAGTAATTGGCGCAATATGCATTTATCAAGATGTTGAAGGAGTTCCGCCAAAACTAGCCAATCCGATCTAATCGAACTATCACAAAAATCACCAATATGATGAAGATTCCCGAAAGTTTTGACAGATTTTACAGCAATCCCTCGCAGAACATCGTGGTATGCAAGTTACATGAGACATCCCCATGATAGGCCTCGATTTCATTGATGTTTTTTTCTCCTACTATCTTCTTATCCCTTTGTTGTGATTATGTTCGACTTTGAATCTTGGTATACCAACGTATTACTATTCACTAACAATGTAGTTTTTCGCCAAAGCCGATGTGATAACATTGTTAGAAGATCAATGGTTGTACTTCCTACCTCGATCAACGCCCGACCATTTGAGGGTCATTACAATTTCGTCTTCTAACAACGATGGATCGCTTATTTCGCCCGGCACGATTTAATAGTGACGCCCATCCTTCATCCCATTCCGAACAGTGGACTCTTTGGCATGAAACATCCTATAACTTCAATTCCAGAATTGATCTGCCTAACACTGATAAGAAACATTTGCTGGTGAATTTTATATTTTATAATCGACCGCCTCAATTCTGAAGACGCCAGCAGAACTCTTGAGACTTTAAAATAAATCTACAAACGAAGTATTTACACGACATATACTCGCAACAGCAACAAAGAACAAGGAAAAATGATTGACGGATAGGTTTACGTAAACTGCAAAGGATAGTAATTTCGTCGCAGCACCGCTGAGAGACATTACGATGAAGCTATCCGTAAAACCCTCATTGGAGTGTTGCTTACTATCGACATTTGTCTAAGGCCTCTCGAGAAGCCAACTCCAAGCTTTCAACAAGGCTCTTGTTTTGAGGAATGAACAGCAGCATTCGCCCACTTACGCTTCAGTCACACACGTACCCCGTGGAGCCATGACTAACCAGACAGATTCCACCATCATTTCCCTACGCCGTCCTGAAGTTCCCGAAGTTCACAATCAGAGACAAAAGACATAGTTGCATTTGGTTCCACTAGACGTTTTTTTTCTGTAGAAGGTAACGACGTTCTCGTTCGTAATGCTCAGCCTGAGAAGCCAAATGTATTTCTTGTGGAAAGAAAGAGCATTTCCAAATGGTCTGACGATCCAATTCAAACACTTATCCGGGCGTGGATTATTTGTATTAAATCTAACAATGTCGTCCTTTGTTGCAGTGTCATTGTTCGTCGGCCTCTCCAATTCAATAACAAAGATTCATAGCAATGGAATAACTCTTAGCGCGCTAATCGATCCAGGCAGTTGCGAGAGCTACCTGGGCATCAAAACTGCTGCTAAACACTAACACCTTGCAGACATCTAAAAATACCATTTCAATGGCTTCCACTCATCAATCCTGTGCTACCCAAGAGCATGGTTAGGCCTCTATTCAATGAAAAAACACCACAATGGGGGGATTCCCCTTCAAAATGGCTGATGCACCGACGTCAATCTCGGTTTTGATTTCCTCAAATAACATCAAAATGCAATTATTCCCTTTAATGGCAGCCGTCTGCTTTTTTTCGCACTCTCAGAGCGGCCAAAATGGACGTTTCTCACTTGTTTAAAAATCTAGCCCCAAATTGTGCATCTATTTTTAATAAACCGCGTCGTCACTAATATTCCAATCACAACTTTATTGAAGCCGAAGTCAAATAATTGTAGTCAAACAAAATTATAAAATCTCTTTGGTGGACACAAGTCCTTTTATTGACGAACGAGAGACACAAGAAACGGATGGTACTTGACTCTAGCCAAAGGATAAATTGTTTCGCTTGTCTTGATCCTTAACCTCCGTTACGAATCGATGAACTGGTGGAAAAGGTGACCCAAAATTCTGTGTTCAGTACACTTGGCCTGCACAGCTTTGCTACCGTCCGGTTCAATACCACACCTAACCTCTCGGGGCCTTATGTGGCCACTGCAAGTCCCGGGGCTTAGGTTACCGGTTTCCATCACTGAACAGTAGGTCTTCGTTACTAGGGGGGTTACCCCCTCTGTTGTTGATCACACTAAAAGGTGTGTAATAAAAGAAATCCAATTCCAACTAGAGAAAAGGAAAAGCCGTGTACGGTATTTGGGGCTTGTGGCAGGTTACATCAGTTCTGTCAAATCCTGTTCGGGGTTACGAACAGAGTTGTGTGCTTTCAACGTACGATAGATAATATCATCCAAGAAGAGAATCTGCAAGATATGTACATTTGTGTACGGGGACAAAGTTACAGCGTGCGGCCGCAACCCGTACCTCAATGGGCGCCGCGAAGAAGCATGGAACAATGAACACAGGAGTGTGATTGGTGCTAGCAAAATTATTCTTCGCGGATAAGAATTCCCCCGAGGTTCAATGAAGCGAGACCCCGAACGATTCTCAGCCATGAGGGAGCTACCTCCTCCGAAGGATACCGCTTCTCAAAGAAGAATGGTTGGAATGCTGGCGTGCTATAACCACACTTCCAGACAAAATTCACTCATTAGAGCATAACCACACTTTTTCCTATTCCGGACAACGTAAAATCCTCTTTCGAACAGTTGAACAGAGAACTGGAAACGGACACTGTTTTTACCGTTGATTATAGCCGCCAACTAATCGTGGGAACCGACGCGTTCCACATCGCGATAGCGGTAACGCTCATATAGTACGGGTGTACGGTGGCTTTGTTCTCACGTACCAAACTCCCGGGTCAGTGCCCCCAATCGGCGATCGGAAAGAAGCTTGCACAATCGTGGAAGCTACAAGAAAGTGGACATATCTGTAGTTCGGGAACCACACTACTCTCATCATTGACCAGCGTTCAGTCGCCTTAATGTACAACAAGCAGCACAAATGCAAAGTGAAAAAGGATGAAATTCAACTATAAAAATCAGGGTTGTCGCGCTTTCATCACAACATTAGCAGTTTGCCAGCCGATATGATAGTATGCAGACATTGACTGCAGCCAAGTGAAACGGAGATTTCGATTTTATCAATGCTATAGCTTTTCATTGGTTCGTTTTACGCCGAGTAATAGTCCATGAGTGGTTAAGGTCGAGGCATCTAGTATAATTTGTGAGAAGAACTAGGCGAGTGAGAAAGAGGGTTTTCCGGAAGGACGCCTGAGATTTTACGACACAACACACTTTGCGACAGTCTAAAAAGAGGAAGGAGGGTTTCGGGAATCATGACCGAAGCCACAAGGCAGTGGGAAGTAAATCCAACACGGGAGCGTGAACGGATCACCCATGCGCAAGCTTTTAGAGGCCTATCACGCAGTCTTCAGTTTTCGGTTCAGTGTGTTGTTCGTTGGTGCGTTGATTGACGGTCCGCTTTTCGGAATCGGCCCTTTTCCTCATGCTCCCATTGAGACAGGCAGAATGTGGACGGATAGTACTTCATTGGCGGGGGGCTGTGCAGCTTAGTGCCAAGACATGCTACCGTCGGGTGGAAACCCCCAGAAAATTCGACCTTCCGTCCATATTGCGGGTTTTTGATCGGTAAGCTGCTCCTCCCAATGTTTGTTTGCTGAAGTGAGCTCTCCAGGGACTGGAGTGGATAGTGAAAAGAAACCAGGATGTGTCCAACCATTTGGCCTTGATCCTGAGCTTTGTGTGGCTACTGCCTGTTGTTTTTAGTCTAGACGTACGATTGACACGAGTGACTCTTGCTTAACCCCCAACAACACGGAGAGAGAATACGACTGGAGACAACAGTCAGCCTGCATTCCACGATTAGGGTTTGATACGCAAATAAATAAGGTAAATCAGTCATACGGGAACGGTGCAGTAACGAACTAATCATATTGAGACCTTGATACTTCCACTGGTCGATCGGCAAACCGCTGGCAAACCTGTTCTGCAGTCATCCAATCGGAACTCAGCCTGCCTGGAGCGTCGCGTGCGAGCGTGTGGCCTGGCGCGGAGGCGTGCGCGACCAGACGTATTATTTAAGCTCCATCACAACAATACATATTGACCTTTCAAGTATGATTGGATTGGCGTCCGTGAGGAGCCATTTCGTATAGCTCGCAGGGTAATGGAAGGAGACAAACCACCACACCAAGACTGGGCACAGTTTCGTCGTGATTGTAACCTGCACTGCGCAAATTATCGGTCTAAAGAGTAACACGATGAACAGGGAGATAATGTCGGCGACATCCACAACCGCATAACACACTACATCGTTGAACGGAGAAGCAATTGAAACTGTTCGCTCCTTTAGGGACTTGGGATCACCTATCCCCCCCCCCGCCCCCTTCAAGAGTCAAGCAAAAGCGAAATGGCCATCAGGGTAAAATAATAGTGTCAATTCACAATCACATACTACGCTATTATGTAAAATCAAGATTAGTCTTACTGAATTTCTAGTCTGCCAGACTCTCACTGTCTTGTACGGCTGCGAATTCCGAATAGGGCGTGCCCAAAATAAACGCAAACTCGGAGTCATAGACTATCGACGTTCACGATTTATTCTCAAAGTCCGCTACTAGGTCAAGGCGTCGTTGTGCTTGCAGAACAGCACCGTCTACGGTAATTCGATCGCTTACTGTGTCGCACGGACAACTAAGTGGTTAAACTAGCACAGAGTCTCATCCTAGCCACATCGCAGAGGTGGACACATAGAAACCTGGGCAGCAACTACTTTTATAAAAATGGATAACATGAGATTCTAAGCAAGTTTATGGAATTAACCATGGAAACAAGAATAGGGTAAACCCCATCTCAGGATCTGATATCAGAAGCAACGGTTTGAGCTATTCAAAAAGCCGGGTGATCCCCTCGTATGAGGCAGCCGGACTAACGAAAGGTATACAGGGGCGCATTTTTTATTACACGAAAGTGATCACAGTAAAACGGGTAAACCCCATGATCCGAAGATATACCGTAAGTGAGAAAGTATGGGGAACATTCAAGCTAGAACCAGCTTGTTGATTCTGTGTTTAAAAACAAGGATGTTGTACGCTGGAGGGAAGACCGAAAGGGAGAGTGTTCCACAGTTGCGCTGTTCTTGGGAAAAAGATGATTGAAATTGAGAAATGCCGCTTGTGCGCGGGATTTACGAGGAAGAACAAACGGGAGAGGGACAGACGCGGAAATTTCATCAGAGCAAAATCCAAAGTAGTATCGATAGAACAGGGATAAATAAGTGACTGCCCAACGGTGAGCTAGTGACTGCTAGTTGCATGATGAGACGGATGGCCTTACGATAAACCCGATCAAGAAGAGAAAGAGGTGGACGAAGATTCAGCCCACACATGACTGAAGTATTTAAATGCAAGGTGAATCTGAGCTTTGTAAAGCGAGAGGAGGTGAATGGGGGTGAAGAAACGTCTGGCGGGGAAGAGGAAGCCGATTTTGCGCGCAACGCGGGAAAGAAGTAGATAAATATAAGGTGACCATGAAAGAGAAGAATATAAGGAAAGACCCAATAGGTTGCATGAATCTGTTGGACGGAGAGTATTCGAGTTGAAATTCAAGGGAGAGAAGAAAGATGCGTGTTAAAGAGAACTGGACATAAGGGAAGTTTTACTGGCATTGAACAGAACACGGTTGCTACAGCCCCAAGCAGAGATAGGGCCCAGATCAGAATTTAGGGATGTATATTTAACACCGGCTTTTGGA